GCTTGCACGTAATTGACAAAAATCAATTCCGTAATGACGGCCAAATCGATTACGTAATGACCCCGTAATTGCGATATTTTTTTCACACTTTTAAACCTATCATAACAACCAATTTAATCCACTCCTATTCCAAATGGGACATCGAAGTTTGGTTTTTATATTCCCGGCAGTACTACACGCCGGCGACAGATGTTAAAGACAAATATCAAGGAGTGAATTTAAAATAATTTTATTCTGATTTTTATCTTTTGTATTAGCTTTGATTTTTTTTTTAACCACTTTATCACCAAATTTTATGCGATCAAATTTATCATTACCAACACCATATATTTAAGAAACGATAGTTCACTTTTTAAAAATCGTATTAATACGACTTTTGTATTAAATAAAAATTCCGGGTTGCTAATTTATTAATCAACTACAAGCGTATTCTCTCGTTTTATTATACTTTCGCTTGCCTCGCGACGAAGACTTGTTATTTCACCGTTTTTTACAATATCCGACTTACTACTTAGTTAGCATTTTATAATAATTATTGATGCCGACTTATTGACGATATTCCGAATTCCATGCTTCATTTTACATTAAATCATTTCGCGGCCTAAAAGTTATAACATTATTTGCGATAAATTTAGATGAAATATTACTTATATGACATGCCTTCTCCGAAAATACAAAGTTATATCACAAAACAATGCATTTTGTGACATTTATTTTGCACTTATGAAAATATTAATTTATTTTTCTAACTCAAGTCGACAATCCTATTTGCCAAGATTGACACAAGTGTGGTTGAGTGCCGGTGGTATTCGAGTCGACGATAAATCAAAATAAGTTGCCGCATTTGGTAAAGACAGGTAATCGTATTTGGCCGACATATTGCGAGGCATTGTGAAAAACATATTGAGCAAGGCCAAGTCCGGACAGATATATGACGACAAAATCGGTAACAGAACATCAAGATTTTGTAATAGAAAATGGATCTCGCGCAGAATAAACACGGGAAATCCCGTCGTATTGTTGTTTCTCTGCCGTCTCAATCGCTTCACCGATGCTGAAAATACTAAGTTGCGTTGGTTCATTACGCAGTTTCTCTTCCGTCTTTAAATTGCTGTTTGATAAGCGCGACATTAATTATCACGGCATTTACAAATAGACCATGTTTTATAAGTTAATCTCTTACATTCTTTAGTCATTTCACCCGAAGAAGTTGAAACCAGGTGTGTTGACGTCTATCGGTCCCAACACAATTCTCTTCCTTATCTACGGTTAATATGTTCACTGACCATCCTAGATAAGGTGATAATAGGTTAGTAAATGACGCGTTATGCCTTCCCATCTGCCTAACAGGAGAGAGAGAAACGGCTGCGAATATCGGAACTCTAACTTCTTTTACTTAAACTTTAATTTTTTACAATCGACGGAATTGACTGCTCTGAAAAGAGCTCGTTTCAATCTCGAAAGCACTCGACCAATAATTACGACTTTACGTAATTCGTAACTTCGCTTCCGTAACTCGAAATAATTCCGTAAATTACGTGCAAGCCTATTGTCCGGGCTGTATGCCAGCCATTTGAATTTCTCCAGCCACGCTCGCTGAAAAGACAGATAAAAAATCTTTCCTCTGACCGTTCGGACATGCTTTGGAGAGACGAAATCTTTGCTTGGGACCCAAAGGTTGGTCAAATAGTCGTACTTCATTTCATCATCGACATTTGATCCACGCATGAAATCACCGATATCCAATTGAAATTTTATCTTTTTCAACTTTGGTTCGCATTCGTTTGTTGAAGTGCGATTTACTTCTTTGGACATCGACTCGTCTGTGAATGTTGAAAGAGCGTCTTTCAGTACGGAAGAAGGTCATGGTTTGGTCATCGCTTCCCCCTGGTCTTGTAAAATATGAATAATAATATATAATAAGTTTATTTCGACTCCATAATCAGCAATGGACGATAAAAAAATAGATAAAAACAAAAGTAACTGATTATAGAATCGGGAAAGCGAACAAAACCTAGAGTATAAGGTTTGAAACGTATAGATTTTAGATGGAAAGGTATTGATAAAAGAAGTAGTACGTGTTCGCCCACCCAAAAGTAAAAAAAAACTAATGAAGGCACGCACGCACACACACACACACACAATCATCGAGACATGATACTGTCGGAAGCGAAAAAAGCGAGACTTAAAAGTAAAAAGGAAGGAAAATATACGAACAAGTAAAAAAAAAATGAATGAATAAATGAAGCTATCGATTTCTGTTTTTTACTCATTTTCAGAAGACACCGCTTCGCGCTATGCTGCTTCTAACGTCAATCTGTCTTACTGATGCAGTTAGCCGTAATGGTACTCGCGAAACACCGCTTGTGGTCTAACGTAGAAGAGTCGTGATTTATTCAGTCCGCATTATCCTTTGTAGCACTTTTTCCTGTCGAATCCTGAAATATTCAGTCTGAATTTCTAAAAACATTCTTCTGTGTCATACCTTGCAACTTTTCGTGGCTTGGAACGCTTTTTAAAGCATCAATTTCCTTGAAAACTCGCGTTTTCCGGCCGCCGTCCAGATCACCTGGTAATTAGAAATTTCAGAACCTCCCTTAAAAAATTCCTGGCTACGCCCCTGATTTGTGCGAATATACGTTTACCAATCATAGCGGGTGCGCCATCCGTGGAAATGCCATGAAGATATTTTAGGTTAAATCCGGAACGAATACAAGCATTCTTAACTGCAATAAATATGTCTTCTCCTCGAGTGTACATATCAAATTGATCGGAAAGACAGCGAACGAATATTAGGAGTTGTGCCGAGTCACCAATATCTGTTGACTGCCAGCGCAAAAAACTTCCTTAGGCTAACACGTGACTAGAGATGTAACGATATCACTTTTGTTGCCGATACCGATCCGACACCAGCTTAAAACGCCGATACCGATACTACAAAAAGGCCCCTATTACCGATACCGATACTATGTAATTATTACTTAATTAGGTGTGCTGTATAGGGCAGACGGGTTAAAACAATGGTCTTTGAGCGTTGTTCATAGTACACATTATTTCAGATCGCAAAAAAGATATATCACATAATATGAAATTAATGTTTAGTGTTTGCTTTGACTGATTAACATACATTGTACAGTAACGCTAGTAATCTCGGTGTTCAACTAGAAAACTCATAAGCCGGGATGTCCAATTTGAATTTATTGTTAATATCGCGACCTTCGAATATCGTTATTCGTGTTTAAAAGAATATCGAATATCACCCACACATTCTAGCGCCGCCGTCCGACGTTCAAATTAAAAGCATTTTACAAATATTTTAATTCGTGACTAACCTTAATCGTCGACGCAATAAGTCAAAGCCAACATGAAAAAATATCAATCAGCACCGACAAAAAGTAGGCCTACCTATAACCTTCGATGATGTTTTTTTACTTTACTATTTTATAATATTTTACAATTGCTATCATATATTTTGAGACAGTCTAGGGCTAGGCGGCCATGTCAATATATCTATAAAGTAATTGTGTAGTTGAACGAAATTAAAATTAATACCTGCGTAGAGGGATAATTGTGTCGGAATTTAGTTTATCGATGTCGACGGACGGACGGAAAATGTCAATATAAAAATTTGACAGCGAAAATAGCCAAATTGGTTGAGCTAGTTTGGCTGATAAATAGCTAAAAACACGTGAATCCTATTTTCTTGCGGGGGTGGGGACATGTATGAGTCATAGCTCACGATCTCTCCAGACAAAAAATAAATTAAAAAGTAGTATTCCAACTTATCTTTTAAAACATTCTGGACCATATCAAAAAGGTAAATATATTGGAAATATCGGCCTTAATCTAACCGATACCGAAAAAATGGCCGATATTGCCGATACCGATACATCGGTACATCTCTATTCGTGACATCGTGGAAACGCAGCATAGGCTAGGTTCTGTGCACGTTGCACATTGTATGGTCACAATGGATCACCATGACTCTCTATGACGTGCCAATCTATTCTAAATGAGACGAAACCTTTGCAGTAATGAACATCAATGCAAAATGTGAAACCCCGATTCGTATTCATAAACACGCCCAACGTACACGGCTCTTGAAACCCGGACCCGCTAGCTGTTACGGTCTGACAATTATAAATTTCAGATTCTTTGGAAATACCCGGCTTCTTCGAGAATGCCCGGCTACACCCTAGACTTTTACAACAAAAACTTCTGCTTCCCCTGTCGCCGACTATTTCCTCTCATGGCTATTTCCGCTCATGGTAAATGTATCTAAATTGACACTACGATGATCATTTTCTATTTATTACCTTGCACAAAATTATTAGCTTCTTCTTTATGATTGGGGTTCTAAATTCCATCGTTCAATATACCATATGGTTCCACGTGAGCTGACAGAATGGCACCTGGATTCGACAGGCTCGCAAATGTTAATAACCAACGCCCTATGGAAGCTGTGGAAATGCGGCTATCGTTTGTCACCCACTCTAGCCGGATTCGAGTTACCCCATTCAAATTACACCCATTGTTCATCCTGTTTTCCAACAGTGTTTTGAGAGATGGACTTTGTGGAGGTTCGAACCCCGGCACCGAATTAGATACAAAGCTCAAACGATTATGTAGTAAAACCTGAAACTATTTCTTAGTAGACTATTACTAGACAACTCTACAACAGTTAGCCTCTTACACCATTTACTAACCTTCAGTCTTTTATACATAATTGAAGAAATGAATGTGGGGGAGTTGACTCTGATTACCGTTTCGCTCTCTTAGCGAATATTATTGTATATTTTCATTATCGCTGCAATGCTCGTTTTTTCTAGTTGACGAAGAATAAATCTCTCGCTTTTTTCCAGAGATAATTTCTGAAAACCACTGAAATATGACTTATTTTCAATTTAATTACCATTATTTCTAAAAGCACAACAGGCCTAAAGAGTATATATATATGCTTTTCCGCTAACATACGCTAAACTGGCATATAAGTCAAGCGATCTTATGAAATGGTATATATTTTCAAATAAATAATTAGGCAATATTGAAATTGAGTATCATCATAGCTGTATATGGGATTAGCAAGCTATATTCTTGAAAGATATATATTTATATGGTGACTTCGGATACAAGGTGAACAGAAATCCAACACATTGCTAGGATTTTTTTCGCACCATTCCATCTCGATTGAAAGTTCATTTTTACACCGATAAATTCAATTGAACTACTATTAATCTTTCAAAGCTTTGAAAAAAGTTAAAACAAGTTTACTCGAAATACCAAATAATGCGGGAATTCGGTACCCATTTTTCTCTTTGAATCCAAATTTTTCATACAGACTTATTGCTGCATATTGAGTTGCCAAACACTCCAAGACAACAAATTCGTAGTTCATTTCAATAGCTTGATTCAATGCGTGATCAAGTAATCTATTTCCTACTCCATTGCGCCTCAATTTAGACGAAACTGCCAGCTTCTGCGAAATAAAAAAAAGATAGCTAAATGAGTCGTATGCTTCAAATGGATAGATCGAATAAATGCATTACATACGGATTTTTTCAGCGAAAATATAATAATTGACGTTTATTGAATTGACGATTTAAAAAAATTCTTACTGTAAGTACGATTGCCGTACTTGAATCCAAATCTGACAGCAGTTCATCACCCAATGTTAGTTTCCTGTATCCAATTGAGCCTATAATATACCATTGTCCCTGATATTCTATCTCAGCAACCCAGAATTTGATGAATGAATTAATAGTTTCCATAGGCTTACGTTTCATACCACGTGTCCTTGTATACGTGTCATGTGTGAAGGAAAAGAATCCTGCAAGTTATAATGTGTTTTCAAGATGACTTCTACTTGCAAACAAATCATTTTACAGAAAATCTTATATTTACTCACCAATAACATATAGGACTATTATCATTTGTATATACGCAAGCAGGAACATCAAAATACCATATCCAAGATAAGTTGATATCACTGTCGAAAAAGCGACTAGTATGCTCTGTCATATGTAGAGAATAAAACCAATTATGTAGTTATCAAAGATATACTTCAGTTTTAGCCCAGCACAAAAGGCTTTCATAAAACCTGAATCTACCATATGATATGAATTCAAGGAATATCAAAAGCCAATAGTCCGTAAAATCGTATACATGACTCTGGTATTTTAATACCACAGGATAAGTATTGTGCATGGTTGATAAAGGAAAATGTAGGTTTAAGTATACACGGCGCCATAGAATTTGCAACTATGAAAATAACTGGCTTATGTCCTATTGTTCAAACATTGGGTAAAGGTAAATGTACATACTATTGTGCTATAGCCATAGGTCTAGGAGACAATTACCTGTAGTCTGTAATTCTTTAAAATAACCTCTTTCATGGTTACTGAGTAATGACTTTGCATTGAGGCAACTACAATATTTCGAACGGTTGGCATATCATCAATTTTTATTTCCCGAATTCGCAATGTCTGCATTATGTCTTCGTGCCGTGAAACTTGGCCTGAATTTTTTGTAACATATGGGTGTCGAAGATTTAATTTTGAGACGATGTGGTTCTTTAACTTTTTAATATGTCAAGAGTGTGTGGCCAAAACACGAAATGTATGATTTGCCACATTTGGGACAAAAATAACTTCAGATATAATACTTCAGATAGCGTTTTTCATATTTTAATAAGCAAAACACTGCTTTAAAATGCGTAGCTGAATAATACGATATTTTTGAGAAAATGATAACAGGTCACAGTTTCCCGGAGATGATTAAAGTGTATATAGGCCAGTTGAATTTTGCTTCTATACCAACATGTAGATATTATTATAAAAATGAAACATACAAAGAAAACAGTAAATTAGATAAGTTATAAACGCCAGCTCTTTTAATTAAAAAAAGTTCCAATCAAAGCCTTGAATTGACCTCCCTGACAAACGACATGAAAAGGCTACACTTACTTCTTGATAATTCTTCTGATGACATTATTTTGTAAGTCCAATAATTATTATCCGAACGATGTTGTTTCCGACGTTTCGAGTCGATGTCAAGTAAACATTTAACTGGACCTAGTAGAAAGCTTTCTGGTCTAGAGGACAAAGATTAAATATTTGTTTAATAAACGTTGGTGGAACTCCAAACAATTGCGAGACTGTTATGATACTACTTTGCATAGCGGTATCGATATGAACTTAGTGCGAGCAGATTAGAGCTCAAAACACTCCATCTGACTGAGCATATTTGAGACTAACCTTAACATGAGACATGTTAACATGAAACTAACCGAAGAATCAGGCAATCGCTATGACTGTGATGGGCTAACGAGTATCCACGTCGCAAGACAGTCCGAGGCTATATCTACCAGACCAGTGGTTCGCAAAGTGTCATGAACTATTTTGATAACTTGGTCGAACTTTTGAACCCCATTCAATAAATAATACACGTAATAATTAATTATGGGTTCATTAATTGTGAATTATATACTTGTTACGTTATAATATAATTTAGTCTAACGTAAATTATTTTGCGTAAAGAATATAATGGATAAAACAGCTATAATTTGTTACTATAATTCAGTGAAGCGTCGCGGGCCGGATTATATTGCTCCGCGGGCCGTAGGTTGCCGACCCCTGCCCTAAGGACTCGTTGTTAAAAACCGCTGTCTATACATCGCACCCGCATTCTTTAAATTTAAGACTGTTTTTAAATCTTGTTGCTTCAAGCAAATGATTAGATGTGTACGGCCAAACGACATAGTAAACTTCTTGCCAATGCTTGGTCTTTGGTGGAATATTCATTGCGTTGTAAAAAGAGAATATACCGATTAAGAGTAAGTCAACCTGGAAAAAATTATGTTAGATCTTGGCAGTGGACGACAGACATTGACAAACTCAACCAAATATATAAAAAAGCAATAGATTAGTAATTTAAACGAAGAAAAGACTGGAAAATAAATGAAAGTGTTCCCAGTTGCAAGGTATTGACCAAATAGTGGGTGAGAAATTGAAGAGTCACAAAGAACAACAGCGTAGCAGACTTTTTTTAAGTGCTAATTGAATTCGCCGTCCGCCACTTCAGGTATACGCCAATGCACATGGAATTCGATACGTTGTGGGAGCAATAAAGGTTCGTATTAGCCTTGTTAAAATCAGGGGTATCACAGAAAATGTCGAGTGGTGAGGTTCCTGCAACAACCATCAATGTACATTCTAGAAAACATATGCAATACTTAAAACAGATAGTCTAGCTTCAAAAGGCGATGAATCTACATTGTTGAAGTAAACAACAACCAATTTCCACGCAAAATGAATATAAATAAATGAGCGTTATTGAAGTAGGGGAAAACCAAGATGCTCATGATATATCGATTTCTAAAATAAAATTCAGCGATCAACGTCAACAAATGCCCGAGGGGCCCACAAATACTTACAAATACTAAAACAAGCTCGCTGTAAGGTAATATGTTGTTCAGAGAAAAAACTTGGACTTAAGATTATGTGGTTCAACAATTATAGACGAATTAATAACTAACGACTATTTTCACAGGAACAGTTCAGACAAGAAAGTATATATCACTAAAAGTAGGTTGTGTTCAGAGTTGATAAGGTATTCGGTCGGCAATGATCCGGTATATGTGACAAAATAGTATTAGTATTTTACTTACACAGGTTTATAAACCCCATGAAACCCACGATCAAATGAAGTTATAAGAACGGATAGGAACCAGAATTCCAAATTTGTCCGATTCTTCGAACTCAGGCGGAAACGATTTCAATCGATTGAAACAATTCACAACTCCTGCACTTGAGTAGCAATTGATCTTTTCTGGGTATTGCAAGTTGAAGTTGAGTTTGACGTATGTCACGACAGTATTTGCGTGTAAGTCATACATATACCTATATAATCTCATATAGTCTCAATATTTAACTTCATCAAGCGATTTTTTACGTCTCATGCGTTTGTTCGAAACAATGTTGCTATATAGAGGAGGTCACATATATATTATTTTACACTTAAAACTGAAAGTTCCTTGTTGTTGCAAGATGAAGGACATTTTATTAGCTTTGTAGAGCAACGCAGAACTATAGAACAATATCGGCTTAGTGATAGATTTTGTTACGATACAGACATTAAGATTTCAAGTCTTCAAAATGGGTATTTTGGTTTTGATAGAATATAAATTTAGCTCATTTTGAACTGAGACGTAACAAACGTTTATGGCAAAGACTTAGATTATTTTAGATGTTAAGCATTTAATATTTAACAACTCACAGCTCTGGGAAATCTGTTTGTTAGAATTGCTCACTAAATAATACTGCTATTTGAAGATCGCTTCTCATCGATTTTCAATCTTATGTATTGCTATATATGTACGCTATTCAATCTTATGTAATTATAGCTGGGATATTATATTACACGTTGTCTCATTGAAACGCTTTCACTGCTATAAAATATATATTACCTTTTGTTAGAAGATTGTTCTGCACGACACATAGTTTTAATCTACTGATAGAAATAAGCAATACCAGAATGTCTGAATATTCTCGCCATTTTTTCAATCAGAATTTGATTTTATATTTGGAATAAAACTCGACGAATTATACTGAAACAAGTATTTCAAACAATCTGTATAGTTGATAAATTTCCAAAAATGAAGATCTGGTGCATAAAATGTAATGGTAACAAAAACAAGTATGCATTCAATTGCAGAATTATCGTTAAGCGAAATTAATTATAATGTCGACCGTGAAATATCTGTGTTGTTTTGCTATAGTGGCGTTACACATCGAGTTATCATATGGGCATTGCAACATAATGGCAGAGTGTGAAAATGAATTACAATGGAAAAGATGGACAAATAGTTACGAACCAGGGAAGCCTGGAAAACGGGTGACTTTTTATAATGTTGATGTTGATCGTTTTTTTAGTTTTTCAATTTAATCCAGAAATATGAAGATGAAGATTTAAGTTCGCAATCGGCACGGCATATGAAGTAGTTTACTATGGAATAGATGATTCTGTAATTCTCAGATATTTAAAAGAAAATTAACGGTAACATATATATTTTCAGGGTGCACCAGGACCACACGGTCCACCTGGTGCTAAGGGTGAACCGGGAGAAACGATTGAGGTCATTCCTGCACCTGATAAGGATGAAACAACACCCGTAATGCACTTTCTGGGCCATACGGTAACTTGGAACACCGCAAAAACTTTCTGTCACGTTACAGGAAAGAAACTCTGTAGAACAAACGAACTGTGTCCCAGCAACCGAGGAGGACGCCAAATGATTCACGATGCTATTCCAGGAGATCACTGGGTCCCAGTGCTTGATGGATCAAACAAATGGATGCAGGCTGGAGATTCTAGACGTAAGTTTGTTTTAGAATAAAATTATTTTGTCAGAAAGGTTGTTTCAAATATATATACTTGAAGATATTTGCTATTGAAACACATTAAATTTAAAAAAAAAAAAATTAAAATAAAATAACTGCATGCAGTGAAGCTTACATTTGTCGTTCGCTCCGAATAGGGCCTTGTACAAGCTACCACGGCTTTAATGCCATATGAAAGGAAGTACTACTATATTGTTGAAGGTTTCAAAATCGTTGAGAGGAAATTCATAATCGAAATATGCAACGTTTTACTTAATATGGTGTAATATTTTGCATTTGCCACACGTGAAAAGCAACGTCAAGCAAAATTTATTATTTCTTCATAAAAGAAACTATTACAGCAGTTGCTAGCAAGACTGATCATGCAAGTATATCTAGCAATAACTTTATTTCGAAAAATACGGTCAGCTAAGTGTTTCTATTATTCTTTGATACTTAGGGTTTACCTGTCACACACATACTGAAACACACGGAGGAGGTATGGCGTCATGGGGAACCTCCAACAGTCCAGCTCCTCATAAGGGTTACGTGTATTGTTGCGGAGAGAAATATACAGGTTAATCGAAATATGCTTTTTTGTTTTTCGCCTTAATTCAATAAACCATGTAGTGTTAATTGTAATTAGTGCTCAAGTATGCTCATTTGGAATTTGCTTTTACTGTGATAGGAAAAATAGTCAATTTTGAAAAATGGTCAATAATTTTTTTCAACTTGAGCATTTTGACCCAATCCTAATTATTTCAATCGCAAATTTCACGATTTTCATTACCGCCGCATTCATTAACAAGGTCCACGTTATCAATACATTGGAAAGGCAGCTACATATGATATGTCAAAACAGCATTGTGTGAATCAAGGCAGAAGATTGTGTCATGCAGGTGAAATTTGCACCAACAACAAACCTATATATGGTATCATAGCCCGTGATGCATGGGTTGCTGCGAATGATCGTCATAATGAATGGATTCAAATCGGCAATTGTGAGTTGATAGATTTTCTAATAAAGCAATAACATTTTAATTTATATCAAAGCCCCTAATCTGTAGAGCAGTGGTTACCAACCTCTTATATCTCGTGGCCCTCATCCGGAGGCTTTTAGCACTCATGATCCCTATATATCATTCCTCGGGTATTCATAGTGTTACTTTGATTTGTAGATTCCAAATCCTATTATATTCGAACAATTCATGCTCAACAATAGGAAAGCACCCCGTAATATACCTTTATCAGGCAATGGAACTAGGAAGCATAGGGAGTTTTCCAGTAAAATTCGTTTTCGCCTCTTTATCAGGTGGCTCCTGCTCTGTTGCCCTTGGTGGAAGCCACTACCGTAGAGGTTCATTTACTCCATCTAAAAATGTTGATGGAATGCATTTCAACTTTTATTTTTAGCAAATACATGTGCTGTACATGGTGTCCTCCATTCGGCTCCCGCTTGGGGAATCAGAACTGATGGAAGATTATTTGATTTTCTGGGTTTCGTACTTTGTTGTCAGAACTAAAACGAAACGAAGAGAGTGATTTCATCATCGCCAAAATGCTGACTATAAGATTAAAGAAAACAATATTACTACTCATTCTATGTAATTTTTAATTATTTTTATCTCAATTTTTGTCCAAAAATCTTGTTTTGAAACAAGCATTTTCAAGAAATTGCAGAAACAATGTTCAGTTTTATTCACTCGTATTCTGTATTATGGAGTTTTCAAATTCAACCTTGGTGACGAATATATAAAAGAACACATCAGTGTCTCCTCAATCGTGTCTTGTATTTATTTTGTAATATTCGGGCCATACAGAGTGTCAACTAAGTGCACATAAAGCTTATGAGAGTATCGCAATTGCCAGATCTACAACTTTTAGATAAGCAGTGAAGATGGTAATTGGAGTTTTCTATAGCTAGCAGTTCATTCGCTATAATGTACATTGAAAATATGTTAGAAAGATTATTTTGTATTTGATTAAAGACCTTGATGACAACCAAACTACATACTGCAGTTTAACATACATTTAACTATTGATGTCAACGTATCTATTTTTATTCATGGACTAATCTCGCTTTTACGTTAGTCTAAACTAGCATTGATAAATGAAAATGTAATACGTAAAAGCTAACTGGGGTGCGGTACGCGGTACAATTCTTTTATTACAAAAGAGCGTAGCTCTAGAGGGAGAAGGGGGGGGGGGGGGGGGATGATACGACGCTTGCTCTAGTTTTTTGCAAAAAAAATTTCCCACTTTTACTTCGCTATCGAAATTATACAAATGTGAATCCATCTCGGTTAGTTCGTTTGGAGGCAATATTGATAATAAGACAAAAAAGTTACACTGAATCACTAACGAATGACGCAAAAAATAGTGTTAGCAAGACGAGTTAGTGTATCACTGTATCCCAATTATACATATCCCATCTCATGGGATTCCCATTGAAATACAATTCAACAAAAATTGTTAAATTTAGGTTCAGCGTCTGCTAAATAGGACACATACAACATAAAAAAGTTTACTAACTTTGTTCACGTTATATTCATAACTATTATACATGTGTTCATCAGCCCCCTCGCAAAGTATATTGTTAATGCTGAATATATTTTGCTCTTTATATATATCTAACAAGAGAGCTATGCTTAAATATATGGATACGAAGTCCATAACAAAGTGTTTTACCATAATTCCCCCGAAAATCATACGCTTTTTTGTGTCCAACGTGTCCCATGAGAAATACAAATGTGTCCCATCCCATCCCATGGGAATCCCATTCCCACGGACAAGCCTGCAGATTGCACCCGTTGACATTTGCTCCCACGTACACCTTTGTAACCATGGATTTTTTCACCCACAAACCAATGGAATTTTACATCGACAAAACCAGCTTCAGAAAATAATTACACTCGTTATATTATGGGGCTTGCTGAGTAGTAATAACAAGGCTAGACAGCTTGCAACCTCCGTAAACACAAATGTGAATTTCTCATACATGCCTACATACTTTCTCAAAATGAACAAATACAAAATAATATACGTTCGTTTATTGACCAAACATGCGCTTAAATACGACCATGTCGCAATGCATAAAAAATTTCAACACAACAAATGCCGTATTCCATAATCATAGTTTTCCTATATATATCTACCCTTTTAAAAGTTTTTTGTCCAATTAGACAACAAATCGGGAGAAAAAAAAACTAAATTTGTAGTCATTCATCCGAGTATTGATCAAATCATATGCATACTATTAATAGAAGTAAACTAATCATTACGTAAATTTCTGTTATTATTCATTACGTTTCTACTGTTTGCATGGGCAGAACTTATCTTTATACCAATTCATATCTAGTACTTTCGATTTCATTTTGGTTCTTCATTGTGGCCTTGGACAATATTTTCAAGTCATATAACTAGAATCTCACGGTCTCACTTTACAAGGCTTTTTCACATCTCATGTTCGATGTTCAAAACCGCATCATGCAAGTATATATGGCAATACCTTCAATTCTAAAACAGTGGTCAGAGTCTTAAATTTGCAATGAAAAGTTATGATACCAGGAAAGTGGCGTCATGACACCCATTTCTATTCGTTTTTATGGATCGGTACGCCACTGCGTCCCCCACTGTCCAGCAATTTCGAAGCGTTTCTAATATTTTGTTGTTACTCAGGGTTTACCTGTCACCGAAACACATAGGGGAGGCATAGCGACATGGGGAACCTCCAACAGTCCAGCTCCTCATAAGGGTTACGTGTATTGTTGTGGGGAAAATATATACAGGTTAGTCAAAATATGCTTTTATGTTTTTCACTCCAATTCGACATAACATTTAGTTTTAATTGTAAGAGAAACACTCAATTAGTTTAACTGAAAATCAATCTTTTCATAGCAACCGATGGAGAGTCAGAAAAATGATCCATCTGACTCTGAACCATTTGAAACCCGACTGTAAAATCGACAAAAAGCCAAAGTTATAGGGTGAAAGTTCGAAACATGATTTTATTCAGAAGAACAGTCTTTTGTGTACAAAGTTTATTGTGTTTGTCTCGAATAGTTTCAGTTGAATTCAACCACTATTCATAAAACGCGACGGCTCCGTGCCCAGAATACGATATATATATATATATAACTCTATTACGGTAGTTAAATGGACCTGCCATAATTGCAGTACTTAAGCGGACGTCGTTCCTGTGTCCGTAATTGTTTTTAGTACGAGTTGTGAATTGAGGTCCATTTCAGTTTATTGAGCTTTTATTGCAAAAAACAGAACGGACGACTTTCATATTCTGCCTGGTTATTGTATCAAAATTATCAAACATACTCTCCAAAAATCGTAAAGACATATACCGAAAAATTGAAAGATTTTTGCATAAACAAAATGCCCACTTAATGTACAAAAATTATACCCGTTGAATATGAACCAACAGAACTACTGTCCACTTAAATGTCAGAGACAACGTCTTTCAACGAATGGAAAGTTTTGCTGAGTTGCAAACGATAAAGGTGTCTAAAGCTTTCATCACGATGTAAAAACGTGATTTTACTCCCACGATTGCGTGGGCACTACATGCCAAAAACCATATAAGGTGTATCAAATATGCGCTTTAAGTACTCAAAACATACAATAATCCATATTGGTGCGCATTACACACATATACAACACCAGCCCAATTTTACACGAAATTAAATAATACTCCAATAGATTTTCTATTAACGTCAAACCTTGAATTAAACTTTACTCTTGCAACTAAAATAGCGATATTCATTTTATTTTTAACAGTGGATTAAATATTACTGGTTCACAAGTTAGAGCTTTCAAAAAAAATGTACAGTGGTTGATAGGCGTATGGTTTAGCCCAGATCTGTCTCCTCATTAGAACGGAAAGATATTTAAAAGTGAACGTATTCATTTACTGCACATGATTTTAAATATAACTTTCACATTAGTTCAACAAATTATACTAAAAAACTTAAATTATATAAATTGTAACAAATACTGTCAAATTGAAATCAAAATTAATCAATCATTACGGCTTTCAATTACATAGTTTATTACACATACTTAAAACCAATTTCACTGTAACGTGGTTTCTGTAAGTAGAGTAGTGGGTTCACAAACATAGACCCTGAACGCCCAGTCATTCATGCATTTGCTTTTAATTTACATTCATGCACATATTTCAGTGGGATGTTTTTCATGTAATGGTTCATCATGCTAATTTTTAGTCTCTGCTTTTCAATTTCTTTCTTATATATACTTGAGTTTGACAGTTTTTGCCATATTGTTTGCACTTTTTTTCTCAGTTGAGAAACTAGCAACACCAATTCTTTTCATATATTCTTCAGTTTTATTGAAGATTGAGTCAAATTACCTACTCTTATATCTTGAACGATATGCATTAGATTAGACGATCTTCCGTTCCAATCAAGTAATTTTTCAGTCCTGCTTGGAACTTTCCTCAATATAAATCAGGCCTCGTCACTTTGCTTCGTGGTAAGTACAAACGTTCCGTGTCCGCTCGAGGGTGATTATTATTATCATTATTATTTTCTAATAAAGTTTGATGCGTCGAAAAGAGTTTTATTAGTATAGGAAATGTGCCGTTGTTGTACACATTCATTGAAGTGCGTGGCCTTTTTTTTTTTATCTTTTTTCAAGTCTTTTGTACATGTATGCAGCTGCTATGGATCCTTGATAAAATGTGAACTTATTTTATGCATACAATAAAATATCGAATAATTGTTATTTGATTTTGAATAAGCTTATCCTAAGCTTACTGTAATTTGAATTGTTACTATACAGTTAGATAGGAATTAGAATGACCAGCAAAAACCAAAATTTTTCATAACGTAGCCATTATCTACGATTCTATCCACGAATTTTGTAATTTACTGAACGAAATTTGCTGAAAAGTTATAAAAGCAAAATATTCAATAAAAACTTCTCAGTGGTAAAGAATACGAAAAACTTTTTTGCGTCCAAAGGTTGCGTAAACGTTCATGCGCAATAGTCTATAAGATGGTGTTAGTTTTCTCTTTGACATCATTAAGATTACGAAAATGAAACTCGACATCGCAACTAATGACTTCCTGAGGCTACACATACAAGCGACAATTAGACATGTTTACCATTTGAATACTGAGATTTTTGTTTGGTAATGAGATGTGATTATAAAAGTATGAAGATTGTTTAGTGGTAAACATAAGTTGAAGAGTAAGTTGGAATTGTTTGGAAAAAACATATTATAATAATTGCGATCTAGCGCAATCATATACAAAAACAATAAGATTAGCTAGATTACATGACGCTCAGAATTTTCAAAGCAAATTTGTCAAAATTCACTCATAAATCTCCAAAAGCATCGAGACTATATTGTGAAATTTAGATACATGTTTTAGACACAAAATATATACATATATACAGTATTCTTTTGCTAAATTTTGATGATGAAGCCGTTGTTGTAAAACAAATAGTTCTTCTACTCAACAACTAATGAATCATTAGTTAGTCAAAATTCATTACTTAGAGATGAATAAAACATCGAAAAAGTTGTTACATTTATTTTCTTTCGAATCCAAAGGGACGCTATATTCCGTTCGGAATTTTTGTTTCATTTTATTTCATGGAAACACTCTTATATTTCCATATTGTTGAACAATGCGATGTATGATGTTTACATGTGTGGTGATGATTGATTGTTTTGTTGTTACCCACTCCCATGTTTTTGTAAATATTATCTGTTTGTTTCTTGCTGTCGCCGTCATAGCACGT